ACTAGAACTCACAGTCTCCCAATTTCAAGTCTGGTGCCTTCACCACTAGACCAAACTGGCTGCCTATTAGGATTTATCCTTTGTTTACTTACAATCACCCACCCTATCGTCATTTCAAGAAACTAAGAGTTATCAACATGTGAAATCCCTGGTTGACAGTATTTGCCCTCCTGGGCAAGATTTAATACTTAAATGAATATCTTCTGGATGAAAATGGATGTACCTTCCCTGGCAATGAACCTCGAGTAGCAACGGAAATAATGAAAAACCCTGTTTCCAACTCTCAGTGATTCCAACAAAATATGCAGAGTTCTCAATGGTATCTTTGTTCCTCTTCCGGAAAAGGGCGGTCAAGACTTTTTCCATGCTGTACCGTGGCCCAAGGCCAGAATAAGATGGGTCTACAAAATCTGCTTCCTCTAAACTTGGCTGCAGCCAATCAGCTAGCCAACACCCTCTTTATTTTCTTGCCCAAGCAAAGGGGCACTTGAGACTGGTTGTTAGCTGGCACAAAAGCTTGTGATTCTGCCTCAAGGGAAAAAATCTAGAAAGTATGAGATTGCAGGCAACAATTATTCCCCATTTACTTGCACGACTTACAGAGGCCTAACAAAACAGGTGCTAGGGGATCTTCTCACTGTCTCTGTGTATTGTCTGCAAGACAGGATGTGGAACAAACAGGATTATGATATAAAATGTTTGTGACAACACCATTCTTGTGCGTGGCTAATGTGCCAGGGACATACAACTTCAGATCCAGTTTCCAGCAGCAAATGAGACATTGTGAGGATCATTCCTCTCTCTTTTCCTTTTCCCAAATGATTCATCTGGGAGGAGTAAAACAAGCAAAAAATACCTGCGTACTTTCCTCTTGCGGGGATCACTATGATCAGGATCAAGCTTTGTGCAAAGCCATAGTTTACCTGGCTTGTTAGAATCTAAAAACCACAACTGGGCAAGGTTTGCACATTATGCTATGACTCAAATAGTAATTTACGAACCACAGTGTTGTGGTTCGTGACATGCTGAGACAAAACCGAACAGATCACATTATTGCTTACAATTAGGCTCATATTCTGTCTATGTCAAGCAGAGAGAGTTTGTGAATCCTTTTAGAATTATCTGTGATCCTGAAGTACTATGACCTACAAAGGGATTTGAGCTTCATCTGAATCCACCCACAGCAACCTCTGCAAGCAGACGGCGTGTTTCTTCATCCCAAAGGAATCAGCCTTGTTTCAAAAGGTCATATATGTATAAATATATGAAGGAATTTATCTCACGATGTAAGCAGCTTCAATCTTACTTTTACTTCTCAATAAAGCATTATAATAAAATCTTTAAAAAGAAAGATTTACCTTCTTTTAATTCCATCCTTCCAAGGTTGGTAAAATGAGGACCCAGATTATTGGGGGGGGCAATAGGCTGGCTCTGTAAACCGCTTAGAGAGGGGCTGTAAAGCATTGTGAAGCAGTATGTAAGTCTAAGTGCTATGGCTATTGCTATTTCACATTGACTGACAGGACATCTTCCAAACAGAAATCCAGATCATCCTTTATTTTTATTTTTCACAATCAATGAAAAGGATGCAATTCATTCGCATAAATGATTCATCTGTGGCACTGAATTATTAGCAAATAAAATATATTGCCTATCGACATCATTGTTTTGGTGAAAATATCCCTAAAGTGCTACAAGAGTTGTTGTATGCAGAAAGTGTTTAGCCATAAAGCTTCAGTGAACTATTATGCCTCTGCAAATACATACCCAGTTAAAGATGTTTCCAATCAAAATGTGATTTCCTGAACCATCCATGGTATTATTGACAGTCCTAGTGAGGCTCACCATGTATTTGTAGATATGTTCATATACTGTACATCACATCAAGAGTCAGCGTTTGATAATCGCTCAGATATATTGCTCAAATATATGCAGAATGTTTTGTTAAGGTAGATATTCCCGTCCATTCAAAATTCTCAAATTTTGAATGATGTTATTTCCAGATGGTAACAACATGCTCAAACTTAAAAGTTTCATTTATGCTCTATACATTTAGTTCAAAATACATATGCTTTCTTTCATGAGATTTTAGCTATTATATATAATGAATATTAAAAGCTTCCCTTTCACAAACCACCACACAACATTAACATACTTCCTTATGGATTGTAACTATACACATCTTGTCATTTATTTCCTGTGATGCTAAGAGGCTTAAATGAGCAACAAAGTACTTAAAAATCTAAAGGAAAAGCAACACTTCTTTTCACTCTCTTCCCAAAACAACAAAAAGAAAGCAACTTTCATTTGAAACAAAAGTTTCAAATGGAGCCCTGCACATTAAACATTTTGAGAAAGCAAAAAGGAAGCAATGGAAACATTCTATTTATCCGTCAACAAACCAAACTTATTTTACAGGGCTTCTATTGGAAACCTAAGATCTTCTTTACGTGAAGCTTCTAGAACAGAAAAGATTAAAAAGCATTGGTTCAAGACACTGAATTCATTGCACCTAATTAAAACGAACAGCAGATTCAGGAAATGGCACAGCTCCTTTGTTAGCCTCTGTTCATTGCAGCACTCATGAAGGACACAATTGCTTATGAAGGAATTTCTCTCTATCATGACAGAAGCCACAATTACAATGTTTTATGGCTGCATTAGCACATTCTAGAATACCCTTCTCTTTCAATCTTTCAGCACTTCCCCTCAGAGTCCTACATCGACTTTCTCAGCGGCACTTCTCAAGAATCTCATAGAATTATTACAGCACAGTCCTGACTAGATGTTCTTTGATTATAAAGCAATGTCCTTATTTTAAGGCCTGACAGAACTCCAGGGACTATAAAGCCATGCGTGATTATTCCAACAAAACTTTCAAGTGTCACTGCCACAGCAGGGACATTATTCTTCAAAAAAACGGAGAAGTTACTTTCACCTAAAGATATACAATCAATCTCCTTGTGGTTTCCCAAACCTCTGTGGAACCTTGTTGAGTAAGAATTAACCCCTGGTCACACCTTCACAACATGACATCCTTATCTGTCCCATCATGACACCTTCTGGAAAAAATCTTTTACCAGATCAGATTTTTGTATTTGGAACTCTAGGGAAATTCATAAAAGAGACATCTTTCCTCCAAAGCAGAAAAAAATAAAAATAAACCCAATGTGTAGGAGAAAGAATGGAGAAAGGGGTCCAGGCATGCAACTTTAACGTAATTAATGTAGGATTCTAGAGAGGTTAGTCAGAGATCTATGACGTTGGATTAGACCAAATTATCTAGTCTAATTGCTGCTAATGTGGGAAATCAACTATTATGTCATTTTTAACCAATGGATTTCCAGCATCTATATTTTAAAAACTGTATTATAGAATGGTTCAGATCTAGATGTCGTGGAACTTCAGGAAACAGGCAGCCAAATCCTAACAGAACACGATTTAGCAAAAGGGAATGGTCATATTCCCAAAGCAGCTCTAAAACTGCAATATCCAATTCAAACTTAACTGAAAGTAATTCTCATCACCAGACGAGACTGCCCAGCTGAAGTCAATGCCCGAGTCTTTTATTTTCCACATAATCACGGAAACATGCAATCAACAAACATGTTTAAGCCTTGTGTGCAGTATCTGGAATTCTCTCTAAGGTTTAATGTGCCAAAGCTCATTCAAAGGAAAGTCACAAAGAAAGACAGACTCAGATGCTAAAAGAGCCATTCAAAGCCACAGTCCTTGGCCCTTCACAGAACAAGGCAAGCATTACTATGCAACACTCCCAAACAGCTCCAAGCCATGGCTTTATGTACGCAATTCCATCACGACAATAGTCCATGTGTCCGATGAAGTAGAGTGTCGTCCACAAGAAACATACGTCATAATAAATCTCTAAGGTGCTGCATGACTCTTTGTTATTTCCTTAGTCCGAACTGTAAGCAACCATCTCCCCCATATCGCAGGCAGCATCCCAGCCAAATCTTTGCCTGCTTGATTAAAGTAACCCACTCTGCATCACAATCCCTTACTCAGGAAAAACCCTGCAGAGAGCGGCCAGCTTACCTTAGCGAAAGATTTTTACTGACCAGTACTCCCACTTTATAAGGGAAAGGGGAGGGCAACCACAGAGAGAAAAACATAAATATTATCCAATAGATCCTACTCAATCGTGGGCACTGTTTACTAAGAGGAAAGGCAATTCCATTGCAGATTTGAACCCAAGGCCTAGCTCACCTTCATACCCCCCCACCCCCCACCCCCACTCCCACGGCACTTCCAAGCTGCAGAGCAGTGCTTGTCCACGCATGGTATGGGGTCTTCTGGGATTCCCCGGAGACCCTTCCAGGGGCTCCACAAAGTCGAAAGAAATATTTCAAAAATATTCAGGCACGAAAGCCAGCTTAATATACTCCAAAAGGGGCCACCCTGATAGACGCAACCCACCTCAATCATTGTGGGGGGCGGGGGTCTCATCTGCTCATTGCTGAGGATGGGGGAAAGGGTCCTCGGAGGAAAAAAAAAAAAAAAAGGAGGCTGCGGTTAAAGAAGCACAGGGCCTGCCTCCCCCTTTCTTCCCATCCACCCACCCCCAGCCATGCACACACACACACACACACACACAATGGCGGGGTGAAAGCCACGCTTGCCTGCAGGATCCCACGCCTGACAAAAGACCGAAATCGTTAAGAAATCGGGTTGGGGGTCTCTCTCTCTCTCTCTCTTTCTGCCCCCCTCCGCCAGCCCCCACTCCCGCAAGTCCTAAAGCACAAAAAAGGGGGCTTGAAAACCAGCCAGGCTTGGGGGGGGAGGGTCCTGCCAAGGTTCCTCGAGGAGGGGGGCGAGGATTTGGGGAGGGGGTCCCACCACGGAAGAAACGTCAGGGCTGACACCCCCCCCCGGACTACAACTCCCATCCTCCCCCACACTGCCCGCCCGCCCGCCCGCCCGCCCGACCTTCAGGGGGAGAGAGCGGAGGGGCTGCAGCCCGAGGTCCGCCCGCGGCTTACCTCCGCCGGGGTCGAGGGGCGCTGCACCCCTCTCGCCGCCGCCGCTCCGGAGCTGCTTCACCCGCGCCGCCTCCTCGCCGGGGCCGCCTCCAGGCAGCGCGCGGCGGCGGCGGCGGCAGCGGGGCTCATCCCGGCGGCTCGGGGCTTAAGGGAAAGGCGAGGGGCGCCCAGCCGGGACGAGCCGCAGGGCAAGAGCGAGGAGGAGGAGGAAGGGGGGGAAGAAAGGAAACGGTGCTCCCAGGAGCCTCGCTCGCCGGCCAGCCGCTCTCAGCGCCGCGGGGCCCGTCCGCCACCTTCGCCTCTCCGGAGAAGAAGAAGAAGAGCAGCAGCAGTAGCAGGAGAAGGAGCCGCAACGAGGCAACGGTGGCGGGCGCTGTTCAGAGCGCAGGCGCGCGCAGGCCACGCCCCCTCGCGCGGCGGGGGGCGGCGGCTGAGGGGGCAGGAGGAGGCGGGCCCGCGCGCTTCCGAAGCCACGCCCCCTCACGTTCCAACGCGCGGTGCTGCTTCGGGAGTTCGGAGGGTTGGACAGAGCGAGAGACAAGGATAGGGAGGGAGGGAGAGAGAGGGAAGGATGGAGGGAGAGAGGAAAGGAGGGAAGGAGGGAGAGAAAGAGGGAAGGAGAAGGAGAGAGAGAGGAGAGGAAGAGAGGGGAGAGAGAGACCTCCAAGGTCCCTTCCAACATTATTATTATTATTATTATTATTGGATCATCGCACAGTCAGCCAGATGTTCAGACTGGATTTGGCATTTTGTCTACCTATCAAGCCCTTACCCAGAACCTGGGATAGGCAGATGTGGATGTTTGATGGTAAATAATAATTATTATTATTATTATTATTATTACTTTGCCAGCTCAAAAGGGGCGTGGCCTTTTCCCCCACCTCCTTGCAACAACGTTCCTGCAAGGGAGGTGGATCAGAGGAGGGGAGCAAAAGGGTGACAGGTGGGCGGAGTTTCCGTGGCATCCTTGGGGGGAGCCAGTTGGCAGGGCCTTTTCTCTCTACCGGATTTTCTTCCCCACCCACCCTGCACCACGTCTTTTCTACCGCTCGTCTGACCACAGTTCATTTAGTGACCGTTCGAAGTTACAACAGCACTGAAAAAAACTTGACTTCTGACCGTTTTTTCACACTTACGACCATTAGAGCATCCCCATGGTCGTGTGGTCCAAAATCCAGGCGCTTGGCAATGGGTTCGGGCTTATGACCGTTGTTGGTCTTGAAGTCACGAGATTCCCCTTTTGTGACCTTCTGACAAGCAAAGTCAGTGGGGAAGCTAGATTTGCTTAACAACCGAGTTATGAATTTAACAAGTGCAGTGATTCACTTAACAACTGTGCGAGGAAAAAAAGTCATAAAATGGAGCAAGGCTCGCTTAATGTCTCATTTAGTGACAGAAATGTTGGGCTCAATAGTGGTCATAAGTTGAGGACTACCTGTATTTGTGCTTGCCAGGTGGGCTTGCAGAGAAAGGGGCTGGCCACACGTGGACCCGACTCCTGAGCTCCTGGATTGAGGTTAATTGCTGGGAAAGGGGGTTCAGACACAAGCCCGTAACTCGTGAGGCAGGGGTCCTCAATCTTGGCAACTTTAAGACTTGTGGACTTCAACTCCCAGAATTCCTCAGCAAGCTGGCTGAGGAATTCTGGGAGTTGAAGTCCACAAATCTTAAAGTTGCCAAGGTTGAGGACCCCTGTGGTGAGGGATAAATGAGGGGCTGTAAAGCATTATTGCTGGGTTTGTCTTGCACGTTAAGGCCAAATATGGCTGGTTGGTTTGTGGCTTACATTCCATAGTGCAAACTCTGGCTCAGACAGGCTTTGCAAAGAAGGCTTTTGGAAGGAATCCCGGTGGATGACTTTGCCCAAAACATCACGCCATAAACTGTGGTTTATGAACATATGTCGCAATTATACATGTGATGGGCTGATCAGTCTGTAAACTAGGGCTGCGCAGTACTTACTCTGCCCATGGGGAAAGGTTAAACGTTGCATCCTCTGCTCCCACAGAAATGAATTTTCCAACCTCCCTTGTTGTTCGTGTCCTTTACTACAGAAATATAAAAGGACAACAAACTGACAAGGTGGGCTGAGCAGGTCCCATTCCCACTATTGAGCATATGTATTTCCCCACACAGTGGTAAATCCCACTGAGGTGTGGACTTTCCATACTTGAATAACTTCCTGAATAACTTCCTTGTAGAAGTAAGGAGAAATTTCCTGACAGTAAGAACAATCAACCAGTGGAACAGCTGGCCTTCAGAAGTTGTGGGTGCTCCAACGCTGGAGCCTTGACAGGACAGCCATTTGTCTAAAATGCTATAGGGTCTCCTGCTTAAATTGGGGGTTGGACTACATGACCTCCAAGGTCCCTTCCCACTCTGTCATTCTGTATTCTGTCCTGTCTTGCTAAAGTAATCAGAACAAAAAAAGGAAAATAAACTTGGGATTAAAGCCGTCCAGTTTAGAGCAAACTAGAATGCTTTAGCCGTGAGGTGGCAACTTGCACCACCTGAATGCCCAAAAAATTATATATGTGTAGAAAATGATCAGACGGGGAAGATAGCTGGAAAACCCTTCTGTTGTAATAGGTTACTGTAGTTTTACTTTGCAGGGTGTGTGTGAGTTTCGACTGGAGGAATGTGCTCAGTCACCAGCAATCTGAAGAGACTTCTTTCACGGCTGAGTGAGAATGCAGATATCATATCAGAACGAGATGGAAGGAAGTCATTCAACAACCACAACTTATGCTTTGGTTCAGTCAAGGGGAGGTTTTGTTTACAAGTAGGAACAGCTGACCTCCGTATCATGGCCTGCTTGAACTATTGTAGGATAAAATGGCTCTTTGTAGCCCATCTAAGCCTCAGGTGCAAACCTCTGACATGCCACAACAGTGGGGGTGACACACCAGCATTCATCAACATCTGACAGCAACTGCTCTCAAAAGGATCAGGATCACAGGAAGTGTTAGTACCACTTTAAAATGCCTATGTAAGAGCACACTTGAAATACTGCATTCAGTTCTGTTTCACCATGATATAAAAAGTTGTTGAGACTCTAGAACAGGGGTCCCCAACCTGTGGGCCACGGCCCACTAACTGCTGGCCACCGGGCCACGGAACAGGCTGGCCAGTGTGCACACACATGTGCATGGGCTCACCCCCACTTGTGCTAGTGCTAGCACTGCCGCTGCTACGAAAACAACACCGTGTGGCGAAAACGGGACGCAACACGGCAAAAATGGCAGTGCTAGCAAGTATCACATGGGCGTTTGCACCACCCCATTTGCGTCACGCGTGCTCACGGCCCCGTTTCCGTGTGCATAAAAAGCTTTCCCCCCCTTTCCCTCCAGTCCGCCAATCGAGAAAGGTTGGAGAGCTCTCTGCTCTAGAAAGAATACAAAGAAGAGCAACAAAGATGACTAGGGGACTGGAGACTAAAACTTACTAAGAACAGTTGCTGGAATTGGGTATGTCTAGTTCAGGGGTAGGTAACCTTGGCTCTTTTATGACTCGTGGACTTCAATTCCCCGAATTCCTGAGCCAGCATGGCTGGCTCAGAATTCTGGGAGTTGAAGTCCACGAATCATAAAAGAGCCAAGGTTGCCTACCCCGGGTCTAGTTTAATGAAAAGAAGTACTAGGGGTGACATGATAGCAGTCTTCCAATAATTTAAGGGATTGCAGTTACCTTTTGAAAACCGACCTTTGGACCAGGCTTAAAAGATCGTCCTCACTGAATCTCAAACCTAAAAGACAAAACGGGGGCATTTTTCCCCCTTCAGCTATATTCATTCACACCATCCAAATTAAACCTTCTTGCAAGTCTGAACTGAACTGAACAGCCTTCTTGGAATTGAAAAAGAGCATCGCATTTCTGCAAGCTGGAACTTTGCTCCACCTTTGACGTTAAGATTTTTATCACTTGTAGGCAAAGGGTTTTGTTTGTTATCAAAGTAGTAATATAGGAGCATCGCATAGTAAGTCAGTGGGAGGTGGGACCCAATCCAGGAATGGGCAGGCCAAAGCCAAAAAGTTAGGGTGGACTTCCTTGAACCATTTTTTCTAGCACCCACTTTTTCTTTTTTTCTGTCCTCCTGACCTAGCCAGCAAAAAGGAGGAGAGATTATTTTGGTTGCTGGTCAAAAGGTAGTCCTTGACTGACAACAGTTCATTTAGTGACCATTTGAACTTACAACAGCACTGAAAAAAGTGACTTATGACCGTTTTTCACACTTATGACCACTGCAGCATTCCCCATGATCACATGATCAAAATTCGGACACTTGGCAACTGACTCGTATTTATGACGGTTGCCGTGTCCCGGAGTCACGTGATTCCCTTTTGTGACCTTCTGACAAGCAAAGTCAATGGGGAAGCCAGATTCACTTAACAACCGTGTTACTAGCTTAACAACTGCAGTGATTCACTTAGCAACTGTGGCAAGAAAGGTCGTAAAATGGGGCAAAACTTGCCTTACAAATGCCTCGCTTAGCATCAGAAAGTCTGGTCTCAATTATGATCGTAAGTTGCAGACTACCTATATTCTGGGTTTTTGAAATTTAGCCAAAGACTGCATAAAAACATACTGAGGTTTCAACCCGTGTTTTACTCATCATAAGAATGGTGATTTTGTGAAAAGCATTTATCACATACAAAACCACTTCTGACCCACATTTAGAACTCAAAACATAGTGAAATGAAAGACGGGTACCCCAAACAGCTGGTTTGTGTTTAGACACTACTTGTGATTTATAAACTGCTTTATGGCTTAATTTGTGGGTAAACCCAGCTGACAGTGGTCAACAAACTATGGTTAAGCAAACCACAACTTATCATTTCAACCCAGATTATAAGACTTTTAAAAGAATGTTCCATGTCTGTTTGGTGGGCAGAATTACCTACTATTTCACTGTCAAAGGATGGTTACTTAAGAATTTAACAACTGAGCAATAATTTGGATTTTTAAATAGTTCAATGCAATATTACCAGAAGATGTTTTGTACTGTATTTGTTGCATTCGCCTCATGCATTCTTTTTCTTTCTTTGTTGTCAAAGGTGATTATACCATTCCGGTACTAAATACACTTGGAGCATCTGTGCTCACAATTCCTGCACTCAACTTGAACTCTACTTAGCTCCTTGCCTTTGAATTTCTATATGAGATCAGCACCTGATCAATAAATTGCCATTTGTGCCTTTCATGAATTATGGAACCCCTGATCTCTGGGAATTCAGTCATGTCCCAATTGCAATTAAGCATGGCGATGTCCGAGATTTTGCCAGCCTAGCAGTAAAACAACACTTGATGGTGTATCATAAACCCTTGAATGTTAAAAGAAAATTATCTTCTTTTTCTCAAATACAGTATGATAAAGAAGAAAG